CTACTTCCACAGTGGCAAAAGTCATCTCATGTTGTGTTAGATTCTGTGATCTAGCCACAAGGAAAACATTTATTAAAGCATAACAAATGTTTCTTGCATAAATACAGTTCTCTTATAACAAATGTATTATAATAGACTCAGGAACATTAGGAACTGAGGACATTACAATGAGCAGCAAATTATCAGCAACCTAGTCATGTCTTCAGAGTATTCTAGAGAATTCCTGGCTATATTCTGTAAAAACAATGCATTGAAGAAGATAAGCGGCCAACAATTTGTATAATGTGTATGATTGTATGTATGTGTGAATGCCCACCAGTGCCCACTGGGCCTGACTATAGGCTTCTGTGAGATGGGGGTGCTATTCCCCCAATGTTTCCAGCAACACTCCATCATGTTTTGTTGAGGTAGTTTTGATAACAAAGGACAGCCCCCCCCTTTTTTCAGAACTCGTATGTCTTTTCCAATCCTGAAGATATAGTGATCTTCTCAGGCTTCATGTATTTGGGCTTGGCGTTATCTTGACTTGGTAGCACTGCGGGTTAAACCACAGAAGCCTCTGTGCTGCAAGGTTGGAAGACCAGCAGTCGTAAGATCAAATCCACACAATGGAGTGAACTCCTGTCGTTTGTCCCAGCTCCTGCCAACCTAGCTGTTCGAAAGCATGTAAAAATATGAGTAAATAGGTACCACTTCGGTGGGAAGGTGATGGCATTCCGTGTCTAATCACGTTGGCCACATCACCACGGAAACTATCTTCGGACAAATGCTGGCTCTATGGCTTGGAAACGGGGATGAGCACCACGCCCTAGAGTCAGACACGACTGGACTAAATGTCAAGGGAAACCTTTACTTTTACCTAGCTTTGACAAGTTCACAGAAATGTCAGACATTTCTATATGCCTGTATTGGTCTTCATCTAAAGTAAACAAATTGTTTGGAACTGAAAACTTGTACCTAGTATCCTGCTACAAAATAATAAAGTTTCATACACAAAATAATATTATCTGCAGCTACATCATTTTTCCATTAGCTTTCCTAACAAGAAAACTGCACATGCACATACACACCTATACAGTTGTGTCTGACTCTAGGGTGAGCACCACGCCCTAGAGTCAGACACAACTGGACAAATTGTCAAGGGGAACCTTTACCTTTATCTTGAACAAGAAATTAAGACCCGTTAGTCAGTCTTAAGCATAGGAGGAAATTTTGCAGTCACACCCAGTAAAATTCCTGTGGAAGACATAATTGCCAACATGGAATTAGCATTATATCATCTTCCAGAAGAAAAAGCAGAGGAAATAAGAGGGGAAGTGACTAGGAAAACAAACCCCCCAAAAGCAACATAACAAGAAAGGAGAGAAATGCCATCAAGTCCCTGAACTCAGACCCGGACATCATCATCATGCCAGCAGACAAAAACAACTCCACAGTAATCATGAAAACAAGAATATAAGGACAAAATCAGGGAACTTCTAGACCCCACCACCTACAGAAAACTGAAACGGGACCCAACCAACAAAATCACAAAAAAACAAACATACTGATCAGGAGTTCCTCCCTGTACCCCAACGTCCTTCAACAAATCTGCAAGACAGAACCCCTCCCACCAAGACTATACAGACTCCCCAAAATCCACAAGGACTCAATCCCACTCAGGCCAATTGTAAGTGCCATCAGCTCCCCAACATATGAATTAGCCAAACACCTAGCTGCCCTCCTACAGACCCACATTGGACAAACCTCATCCTACATCAAAGACCCAGGACATTTCATAAGCAAGGTCAGCACCCTAAAACTCAACCCTGGGGACAGACTGATCAGCTTTGGTGTAGTATTCCTGTTCACTAAGATACCGATAAAGGACACCCTGACACTCATCCAGCAGATCTTTCCAGAAGACATCAAGGCCCTCTTCCAACACTGCCTAATGACCAGCTATTTCCAGTGGGATAATGAAAACAGATGGAGTGGCCATGGGGAGCTCCCTCAGCCTGGTTTTATCAAACGTCTACATGGAGCATATAAAAAAACTTGCCCTGGCTTGGGCACCCCTCGCACCCATATATCTGCTTCCGATATGTGGATGACACCTTTGCAATTTGGAG